TATAGATACTTGATTATAAAAATGATTAATATTTTTGCATACAAAATATATTAACAAATATGACCTTGAGTGGAATAATGTTGCCATTGACCTAGAGTTGGATTATAAAAAACAGGATAACCAGTTTGTGGGTCAACCATGGCAGTAGTATGAGGATCTATACCCAAAGCCAAACATCTATTTTCATGTTCTTGCCATGATTCTTGTTGTTGACGACGTTGCCTTTCTTCTTCTTCTTTTGCAACTTGCAATGCAAATAATTGCCTACGTTCGTACTTTGTCATTCGTGGTATAGGAACTAGACTCCGTTCTTCTACTCTTTTATCTTTTGTTCTACTATGATCAGTTCTACTATGATCAGCTTCTGGAGATTCTCGTCCTCGTCTCCTATCACCACGTTTGTCTATATCATTTCGACTATATCTATCAGATCTATGTCTAAAAGTGAGTAAAAATTATGAAATTAATAAATTATAATGTTTAACTTAATGTTATGTTGCAATAGTATATTGTTAAATATCACAAAGATTTGCAAACTTCAATGATACGTTTTCTCTTAAGAATAAATATATACCTATCGTACGACGTGATTCTCTTTTCTTCTTCTTTCTCTAATTCTTCTCTGTATCCTCGATCTACAACAAGAATCTCAATAAAAATCAAAATAACGTTATATAAATGTATATACATAACTTTTGACTTTAAATGCTACTAATATTTAAAAATAAAAACATATTTAACCTGCTTCTCTTTCATGCTCCTTCATTTGCTCAATTCTCTCTTTTTTCGGTATTCTAAAAACTTCTTTTAAATTAGACCATTCAGCAAGAAGACTAGAAGCTAAATCGGGAATAAGATCTGTATTCTCTGATTTGACTTCGCTAACAACTGCCAAACAACTTTCGATATTGTTATTACTTTTATCTGGAATGTCATTTAGACGTTCATCAAGACTTTTTTTCTCACTGCTATCAGAATTACTATTTAATTCTTCACAGCTCGTCTTTGATTTAATCTGATCATCTTCTGGAGAATCAGTATTTGGGGAAAGATATAATTTTTTCGCCCATCTCTCAATTACACCATATATTTTACTATCCATTAACATTGTCTTGTTTGGTATTGGCAGTGTATTTAGAGTCTTCAGCACATCTAAGCGAAATTGTTGAGCTTCTTCCGATTCGTTTGTACCAATATCCATAACATAACTCCAAATCAAACGTAGTCCGTGATAATCCAAAAACAATCTTCGACATGGTTGTTCACCACTTTGAATAAGACGTAACAAACGAGTTCTGTGTTCTAATTCTCTGCTACGAACCATTAACCTACTTAATGTTAAAGTGTGCGCACGGTTTTTCAAACCACCTGAACACAATTTATCTATTTCTTCCTCCAACTAAAATGAAATGTAAAAGAATAAAGTAATGAAGAAGTCATTGCTTAAAAAACCATGTTCATTCTTGTAATATTACAATTATTATTTTATTATATAATGCTATTACTATTAATATTTATTGAATTATACTTACATCCTCGTCTTCCATATAATCATCAGCTGGTTTCTTTTCTTCCATTTTCTTCTTCGTATCTCTTTCCTCTGTTTCTTTCTTTTCAATTTTTTCCTTCTCTTCTTCTGGTGTTTCACCTATCCAACCTCGACAATTCAGTGCCTCACAATAACACTTCTGAGCTTCTTTGCTATTATTAAAACATGTAACAAATTGTATTAATAAAAATAGAGACATAAATTTCTATATATATAATCCACATAAGTAAATAGCTATTAATAACTATTAATATAAAAATATCACTAAAAAAACGTACCCATAACGTTGAAAATGATAGTCAAATGTAATTTCTTCGCCAGCAGTTATGAATTTTTTGTTAAAAAAGCCTATCCGTAATTCCCCATTTACTGTCCACTAAAAAAATATTTAGTTATTATGAAATAATCAGCATTGTTCTGATATTAAAAAAAAATTATTTTTGTATTAATTGTAGGACAAAACACAAATTCACCTTTTGTGTCTCCGCGTTTGGATCACAGCTATGATTAATAAATCGGGATATATTTCCTTTCATCGTAGCATCTATAATCTGATCAGATTTCAACGCCATAAAATAGTAATGTCTGTTTTTATCTTTGGAGTATTCTTTTGCTCGACGTCTAAAATCCTTTGGATCTACAACTTCACCTACATACTCCATTATAAATTCGCCCCTACAATTGTAAAAGCAATATAAAAATAAGAAACGACTTTTGACTTATAATATATAATAGAATCAGACTCCTCAAAAATTTAATAGATCAAGGTAAATTTAATAGACCAAAAGTTCAGGGAAGTAGAAATCAATGCGGTAGTTAGTACTAATATAATATTAGATATAAATTTCTATTCTCTTCTGTTAGACATACATTTATTTTCGTACGCGTTTTGACTTAAGTCATTCTCAATGAAATACATAAAATTAAATATAAAACTATCCTACAATCTGTGCAATCTTGGTGCCAACCATTCGCTTTACCGCGCAGGCTCACATGGTAAGTAATTATCTGTGCTCGTTTCTGTACATACAATATTACCATAGACCCCTATTGTTAATTCGTAATGTTTTTATAGCTTATCTGGCGGAAGCTTTCTATGCTTTATCAGATTGACTAACCATGATAGAACACAAAGAAACATCGCAGATGGTTGGCACCAAAATTGCACAGATTACAGAATAGTTTTATATTTATGTATTTCGTTAAGAATGACATCATTAAATCAAATTGTTAATCAAACGCATATGAAAGTAAATGTACGTCTAACAGAAGAAATAATAAAAATGTATGTCTAATATTATATTAGCACACTAACTACCACGTTAACTTTTACTTATCATATTTTACTTATATGATATATATTATATATTGATATTTTTGTAATTAATATCAATTTTTGTTAAGAACAGAAATTGATATTTTTGTTCTTAAAATTTGACTTAAAATTTTACTTACGCCATTATGTCAACAACAGCACGTAATCCAAAACCTTTCTTCTCTGTTCGAAAAACTTCGCATTTGGCATATTGACAGTTTTGAAATCTTTTATTTGTACATCTATCACCTACTACGCATCTAGATCCACTAATAAATATTAAAATAACATTATTACCTTTATCTAATTTATTTCTGTTTTGTTATGTATATGGTGTCCCGGTATCATCGCTGAAGATAAATATACTAAAGACAGATTTTTTTATAACATTTTAAGACGAAAAGTCTAAATATAAAAATGTCGAGTTTATGATAGTTTTCAAATGAGAAGAGTTTAAAAATGACAAATGACAGGGCTAAAATTACGCGCGTTCAAAGATGGCAAAATAGTCAGTAAAAAGATATTAAGTGCATCCAGAAATGACTTGATTGCTCACTAAGCAAGAAAGGAATTAATCTGTTTATTTATTATAATATTCATAATGTAGAATAACTTATCTGTTATAAATAATCTTTAATATTATATTTCTCACTTACTTATTACTGTTTATTATTTCTTTAAAACCATGAGAGCGTGAATTCAATGAGCTATGTGAGAATTTTATGTCGCTCATATCACTCACGGCCTTAAAAAAATAATAAACAATAATAAGTAAAAAATATTAAAGATTATTTATAACATTACGAATATTCTACATTACAAATATTATAATAAACATATTAATTTCTTTCTTACTCAGTAAGCGCTCAGTGAACGGTCGCTTCTGGATGGACCCATTGAATTGTGTTATTGTCAAAAGTATGAATTTCGAAGAAGTACCTTCACACTGATCATCTTGCGATCTCTAAGCGCGAAATTTTGACTCTGCCATTCGTAATTTTTAAACTCTTACCATCTAAATTATAGCCTCGACATTCTCATATTAGACTTTTCATCTAAAAATGTTATAAAAAAATGTGTCTTCAAAATATTAGCGTCAGTAATGGGACGCCCTGTATATATACGTATACCTTAATCTATATATTATATTATATACATATTCTATTTAAAAAAAAACATTACTTTATTTCATTAATATCTTTACACCTCGTATCATGTACAAAAATATTAATGAAATAAAGTAATATAAAAATTATGCGTTTCGCAGGTTTCCTCCGTGTACAGATCCATTCTTGAACCTTGCAGTCCACTTCAGTATCATTGATACTGTATCAGGTTGTTCCTCGTTAAATGAAGTGGACTGCAAGGTTTACGAAACGTTGGCATTCCAAGAATGGATCTGAACACGCAGGAAATCCAAAACGCATAATCTTTATATTGAAAGCCTCAAGAATATTATGAAATAAAGTAATGTTTCTCTTTAAATAAAATGTGTATATAATAAAATATATAGATTAAGCTATAATAAATATTTTTGCACCCCGTATCGTACGTAAAAATATAAATTTGTAAAATGAAAACTTTATTAAAAATAAATACTTACCATTCTATCATGAGAAGTCTATTAAGGCAATCTTCCCCACAACCAAGTTCTCCTCTCTCAATTTCTTCTTCAGTTAAGAAACAATCGCATACCATTCTTTTGGTTTCCTTGTTTGTATATCTAATAACAAATGTTATAAATATTTAATATCTTATAAATATATAAAATAATTGTATACATATACATTGTGTGTGTGTGTGTGTGTGTGCGCGCGCGCGCGCGCGTGTATTATTTTAAGGCCTTAATTCTAAATTCTACATACCTTTCTGTAAGATACAAATTTTCATACAAGTGCTCAAACTGACTCAGTCTTTCTTCCATTTCTCTATCTTCTGTTTCAAGAACCATTGGCAACGAAATCTTTGCTCCTATAATTTTTGGAATTTGTGCTACTGTTGAAATAGTAGAAACATTACTGGATAGCACTGGTACATCTTTAATTTGCCCTATTTCTGTACAAAATTTTATACTTGTATTAACAGCATTATGTTTTAATTCTGATGATGTAGATTCTCCTATATTTATTGGTGCATTACGTCCTGATTCAAATTGAAGTGCAATAGATGATCCAAGCATTGACACAGGAGCAATGATAGATCCAAATCCTGCACTTGATCCACCCATTTCAAGCTCACTCGATCTTCGCCAACGGGATTTTACTTTAACTGGTTTTGAAGAGTCAGAATCATATCCTGTGATACTATAACTAGTACTTAAAGGTGTTAAAGTATCAATCGACATTGAAATCTTGTTAGAATTATTTTCTTTATCACACTGAATCTCAAAGTTATCTAATTTTACTTCCTGAGTAATTGAAGAATTCGTATTATTAACAACTTTTTCTTTTTCTTGCTGAAGAATAGCTTTTGAGGTGTCTATATTAGGTTTTGTAACCAAACCACGTCCGCGAGATCTAAAAATAAGTTAATTTTTTCACATTAAAATCTGTAAACAGAGGATATATAAAAAAATATTTGTCTACATATAAAACTAAATATTAAAAATGTTTTAAATATATTTTTTACTGCAAATTATTTATTAAAGTTAATAAAAATAAACAAATTGTCATCACATTAAAATAATTTAAATATCTGCTATAAATTTTTTATATCCTAAAGTTAAATTATTTTATTTTATACCTTTGTTTCATCAATCCAATAGACCGAATTCTACTACTTCGTCTTACACCTGAACTGTTTGAACTATTTTCAGAACTTGTATCAGTGCTTCCACTACGGCCTCTAAATTCCATTTTTTTGTCAACATCATTCGTATTGTTAATTGCATGTTTTATATCAAATTCTCTTCCTTTGTAATTAGTAAGGGATGATAATGTATCATTACTATTTTCACTGCTGCTGCATAGTTTGATATCTTCATTATCAATTTTATTATTATCTCCTTCACTATCTTGATATTCATCAGTAGCTGTTAAATATTCTGAATTCTTTTCTTGCTGACTTGTACTCTTTTTGTCTTGTGTAATTTTCGATTTTAATGAAACTCGATCTGTACATTGAAGTCTATCAATGCAAGAGTGGGATTCTAAAATATTTTGTTCTTGATTTTTAATGATATTGTTAGATTCTATAGTTTTCGAGAATATTTCCTTATCGTTAGAACTAACAGAATCATTCGAGCGATGTAACTGCTCCATCTTATCTAATATTGACGAACTACTTTCGTCATCAATATTTAGTTCTACTGAAGACAGTTTTTCCATATTTAAAGGAGTTTGTATCAGAGAGTCAGCGCTTTCCACACTAGACAGATCATTCACTAATTTTTGTATTTCTTGTGAAGATTCACTTATCTGCATATTTGCCAGTTTATTATCTATTTTATTAAAAGAATCTTCCTTTAATGAATTTATGTTCATATTTTTTGCTTCTAAGTTTACTTTACATTCCTGCTTGCAGTTATCTTCCTCGGTAGAAGAACCAGAATCATCTTTAGTGGAACATAAATAAATTTTGCTGGCCATTGATTCTGAAATTTCCTTTGTAATTTTATCATAAATTGTCTTTTTTTGTTTTTTGCTACTTCCACCTTCTAATAAAACTTTCTTTTTATTAATGTAAGATTTATCTGTATTAGAATCTGTGGCATTATTATTCCCACTACTGCATGAAGTTACCAATTCATCAGTATGTATGGCTGATATGGAATTTTCTGATTTATTCATATGTACACTATTTATAACATTTTTTTTAATAGCATGATATTCAGTGTTCAAAATTTTTTCTGACTTAGATATCATGGATTCGTTATCATCCTTATTCTGTATCACAGTAAATTCTACAAAATTTTTGTTTTCTAGATTAGATTCATTCTCAAGTAATACCTCTTCAACTATACCATCACTCTGTGCCAAAGAATAATGGTTGTCACCAACATCTTGCTCCACTTGCATTTCTTCACAGATTATCATTTCCTCTATGACCTCTTCTGACCACGTTTCAGCCTTGGTTGATGCAGGTGCAGATGCAGATAAAGATTCATTGCTTGGACTTGGATTACCAATAACAACTTGCTGTACATCCTCTGGACTAAGTTTTTCTGAATTTTTAATCATATTATCCATATCATCTTGACTGTCACTTTCACCTGTATCTCGTTTATGTTGAATAGCATTGTATAAAGCATATTCACTATTTACAATTACACTGTTGCTGGAAGTACCTTTACATTTGTTATGTTTCTTCAGAGAATTTTGATTTTTCTTTGAAAGAATTTGGCTATGACCTTCGCTAGTAGACTTAAACTCTTCTGAACTGTTTGAGCAAGATGTTTGCGTGATGTATCCATTTATCTTTTTTTCTTCTAATTGCTTCTTAGCTATTTGTCTGCTAGATTTACGTACAGGTATATATTTATCAGATGATTTCTCAGATGCTTTTACTTCGGTTTTACGTCTGCGTGCCATTTTGATTCCATATATACTCTCTCAGTCTGGAATAATTAAGATTAGTATACAATTTGTTATAAAAAACTGATTTTATTTAAATGAAATATAACATATCTTCTATGTAAAATATAATCTAAGATAGATACTAGAATAAATACACATAAATACCTAATAATATATTTGCTCTATTATATTATATTCCTCTTACGTACTATAGATTACAAAATAATTTTGCAATTATTTAATATCACAACAAATTTTGGAAGACTATTAAACAGCTATGAAAAACTCAATTCTAAAATATAAAAGTATGCAGATCATTAAAGTCTTGCTCTATCAAGTCCATATCAATTAAAGATAGGGAACAAAATTTTTATATATAAGAAAATTATTAATTCATCAATCATCTAAATAAAATATTGTATAAAAATATGCTTCTAAATGTTATAATATAAATTCAGTTGTAAACAGAGGTCAAAGGAATAAATGAACAAACATATTTCAAGGTTAAGCAATTTGCTTTGCATTTAAAACTAAAGGTATAACTGAAAAATTATCATTACATATACATACTTAATAAAATATATTGCTTTCTTTTCACCTCCTACTTTTTCTCTTAAAGTAATTGTGAATTAAAAATCCACAGACAACAATATATGATCGGTGCAAATAAAAAAAAGCTCTTGAGAACTTGCTGACCATCTAATTGTAAGTCAATTGTACACTATCGCAAAGCAAGCATCATAATCACTCTTGCATAGGAAACCAATCGCTACATCTGTATACTTCCACTTTGACCAAGTAATAACAGCTTACTCACTGTATGCTTCTAAAATTGTATCTGGCGATTCCAGTGAAAAACTCATTGTTAGGATACTCAACAACTGTTCCCAAATAAATGCTGTATCGTAGTTCTCCAATTTACCGACATAATCAGGAGTGCGAGACGTGGGTTGTGCTAGAAAAGTGAATACTGTTGGGACGGCTGCGTGCGGGGAGGCGGCTCAGCAGGACAGCGAGTTACTTTTCCAGTTTGACGTCAAATGGACTTCCACATAAACAATCACAGCACGTCGTACATCGACGAGCTCCTTCTTGTTCCTCAGGGTTTCTCTCGCGCTATCTACGAAGCGTGTGGCTCAGCGTTCGTCACGTTTGGCACTAAACGAATTTCAACTCCGTGATCCTCGTGGGGGCCCCCCGCCTCACGCTTGGCTGAAAAAAATCCTCGTTTTGGCAGACGTTAAATGCGTCGAGAAAAGCCCATTGCGTTTGTAAGCGTTAAAGGACTCGTGAAGGAAAGTATATATCGTCGATGTACAACATTCTGAGCATGTATATACTCTTGTCGCTACCGAATACCGCCTCTCCTCACTCCGTGCAAACTCACCAAACTCACTGTCGCAAACGAAACTCAGCGTTAACAACGACCTGTAGTGGCAATATCACGAACTTATGGATGAAGGAATAATCGAGCTACTTCAAATGGGAATTACTTATAAACGAAAAAAGTTGACTGCGTTATCTTATGTATATTTTAATCAATGCATCTCTTGTGCACGTTGACAGTGAACAATCATCAACAATATGGCGTATTTTAAATGGTTTTTTTTTCATCTGTTTACTCTTTCGTCTGCCAAAGCTAGAAAGCGGGAAAAGACGCAAATTTAAAATTTTTACGAATTAGACAAGAAATATATATATATATATAATTTTTTAAGATATTTTTCTAAAATATTAGATTACGTACTTATTGTAATATTGTTTAACATTGTAAATTTAGATTTTTTATAATATATAAATATAAATAAATCTTTGAAAATGATTAAATTCTACTAAATTCATCCTGTATTATATAAAGTATTCCATAAAAACCTCAATAAGACTTAAGGATAGATTCCTGAGGTAATTTTGAAATGAAAATCCTAATATCAAAACATAGATTACATTTTGCATCACACTTGAATGCGCGATCTTTAAACGGTATGATTTGCTCTAACTTTTTTTTTAAGTACTTATATATTCAACTATTATAAACATTTAGAGTTAAAATATTCCCTCGAAATGACCTCAGGAATTGACCTTTAAACATTGTTATCTTTACAGGACATTCATCTTTCTCATCATATACAACAGAAATATTGAAATTAAATATATAGATAACATTATTAAATAATTAATTTCTCTCATTGTTTCATACTCAATTCATAGAAGCGAGAACGATATATA